GCTCGCGCATTTCTTGTTAACATGGCCCAATTTCCTCTAAAAATTGCACATTTTAGGGAGTTTTGATCAATTCCAACGAAATTAGAATTAAAAACACCGGGGGACAAGGGTAAAATATCTATCTTTGGAAAATCTTTCTCCACCCCTTGACAAATGCATCCTCTGAAAGTGCCTAAAATTCTCAAATTTTTGAAATTAGAATTAAAAACAAGAGGACAAGGGTAAAATATCCATCTTTCGAAAATCTTTCTCCACCCCTTGACAAATGCATCCTCAAGTGCCTAAAATTCTCAAATTCTTTGCGCGCATTTCTCGTTACGGTAGGCCAATTTCCTCTATAAATTGCACATTTTAGGAAGTTTTCATCAATTCCGACGAAATTGGAATTAAAAACACAAAAATAATTTGCGCGCTTGGCACGCATTTTTTAGGGCTTTTTTAGTTTTATCCTTTTAAGTTATTTAAACACATAATAGTCCCAAACTCAAGAAAGACAAATTTAAGATAGATCATTTTAACCTAAAGGAAGGGCCTCAATATGTATAGATGGTGAAAGAATATGTTTGTAAAAAATAAAAACCATGATGAAAATGCTTATATTTAGTTTCAAACACACGTGTGTGGCCTATATTATAAATAAGATAAGCCCTATGTCGTATTGTTGGGGTGGGGTGGGTATGGTAAATTACTAACCGGGAAATGAGGATTGTATGTTGTTGTTGTTGTTATTATTGTTATTATTGTTATTATTATTATTATTATTATTATTATTATTATTATTATTATTATTATTATTATTATTATTATTATTATTATTATTATTATTATTATTATTATTATTATTATTGTTATTATTATTATTATGTTGTAATGATGTTGTTTGTACTGTTCTTTAGTTTTATTGAAGAGGCCCCCTGAGTATCAGTTAACCTACTGGGCTAAACTAGAAGGGTTACCCTCTTTAAAGATGGTTGAAATACAAAATATAAAAAATATATACCCACTCTGACCCAAGACCCCTGTTACGCGCCTGGTGTTAGCGTCAATGTGTGCCCTTGTGCGGACAGGAGATGTGCCCCTCTCTGAAGCTGGAAACCTTGTTTTTGCAAATTAAATTGATGCAATTTGCTATTATAGGCCTAATCAATAAATTCCTCATCAACCGATATGACATAACATTACTGATGTCGTACACACCTTTCAGTGTGAAATGTGGCTCTCTTTGCAAGCACATCTAACATCTAAGGAAAGAAGAGCTTAGATTGGCACCAGATAAAATAATTTTGTTATCAACATTAATACATTATGGTAATTTCATCTTTGTAAGCGCATAAGACAGTGCAAATTATTTCTGTGACAGTCTTTTGAAGTGTGTAAAGCTCCAT